ATCACTTGCAAAATATGACCTTCGTCATATGCACGGATTAAGCTATCCATCACGATCAGCATATTGGAGATGAATTGCCTGATCGGCAACAAGCCCTTTTGGTAAGCTTATACCAACCCGTTGTCAGTTAAATACCTTAGAACACGTCGTTTATGGAGGCGCTCGAAGATATTTCTGGGAATACTGGTTAGGCTTTATAGGCCTATAGCCAGTAGGTAAATGTCGATTGCCTTCCTCATAGATAGGGATAACAGTTGCTCTCTTACAACGTTATGGAAGGGTTCCTGTGTCTAGGCACTTTTGAAAGAGGTGGGTATATTTGGCAGACAACACGTCCGAGGGTGGATTTCATCCGGACTCAACGAGCTGATGGAATTGACGCCTCTGAGTTGATCTCCCACTTCTGAGACTGTTAAGACAACGTGATCTAACGGGGATTGGAAGGTTACGGGATGGAAATGAGAATGACTAACTGGAGAGGGAATGTTAAATACATGATCGAAATGGGACCAGAGCATCTCCTCCACGTCTGCAGATGAAGTGGCTGTAGTACCGTCGGGTTTAGATAGGGCAAGTTCGGAGGAGGGTTCTGCCGGGCTCGTCGCACATTTTTGTGCAGGACTGATGGATACACGCGTGCCCTGGCTAGAATGCCGTTCTGTTGGTTTCTTTGGTACTCTCGGATCCATGCTTTATTTGAATTACGAATGCGGATGAAGGCGTTGGCATCTTCCGTCAGACTCGTCAATCTTTACCTAGCAAAGGACCGCGAACGTTCTTCTAAAAGATGACGGATAGCACGCGGTAAGTGGTGCTTGTTTGAAGGGGATTTGCGAACGCGGGGCACAATCAGATGGTCCGCTGTACGGATATTCTGTTCTTTTGTACTACTCATGCGATCTGCATCACTTATCTGACTGGTTTGGAGGGTATAGGCTTGAAGGAAATGCCTCAGGTTGTTGAAGTTTGTTCTTTTGAAAGAATGAATGTCCCTATGATATGGCGTGACGCAGCTGGGCCAGCGGACTATTGTTTCAAAGGACAGCACGATAAGGTCACTCTTGCCCAAAGGGCAATGCTGTTGGATTGTGTCTGTGAGGTAACTATCACCTGTTATGACAAAGGCGTAGCAGTGAAGGGGATTGCCGGTTTTTGAATCTGGTTGGGCTTGTGACGTGCTGACACCATGACAGCCCTGTGACTAGTTCGACCAGTAGCCTTCCAAATGTATTATCCGGGGCGTGAAGTCTAAGACAATCTATTCCCGGAGTGTTGAAGTCTCCAGTTATCCGGAGATGTGCATGGGAGTGCATACATCTTGAGCTGCTCAGTTATTCTATCAGAAGTTGTGATTCCAGCTCACCACAGGAGGGTGAGCGGTGGACTACTCCTAGCACCAGTATCTCAGAGCGGGTCAGGGGAATTTGTACCCAGGAGCAGTCTATGAAAGGGATGGGAGAGAGTGATAAGTCTATCGCTTGGGGAAAGTGGTCACTCGTGTAGAGGATCACACCACCTTCGCCACCCCTCATTGATTTGCTTCGGCTCAATGAGTAAATTGTAATAGATAATTCTTCATCGCTGTACTCCGGAGTCAACCAGGTTTCGGTGAGCGCTACAAAATGAGGTTTCTTGTCACCCACTAACTGTTTAACTTCCAACATCTTGTTCGAAATGCTGAGACAGTTAGTGAAAACGCACTTCAGAGCCCACTCACCGGAGATTTCAGTAGAAGCAGAGTTAAAGAGGGAATATTTGGAAGGGGCTCTAAGTTGGGCAATTGGTTCGCAATAAGTGGGCTGTAGAGAGGGTCCGGATTGCGATCCATTCAGCAGCATGTTTGCCTTGACCTGTTGAATAGATCGGAAGGACGAGTAGGATGGGATGTGAGAAGAAACGGGTCAGTTTGCGATCCCCCATGGGAGTGTGTGAAGTATCCTTGTTTCCCCTCAGGGATCTGCGTCAAGGAGAAAGGGAGATTGTGGTGCTAATTACCCGGTAGGGAAGAGAAATACGGACGGTTTGCCGAGTAAACCGTTCCTGTGCGACTTTGGATTAGGAGAACTTTTGGGATTAGCTTTTATCTTAGCGGGGGTGTGGTGCCCCGGCGTCGAGACTGTAGGGGAGGGGGTTGGGTATCGCTGCAGGGGATGTGTTTGATGCCCTGGAAGATTGTCGTGTCTTGGAAGATGAAGAAGTTTTCGTCGCTTGGTGGTTTACTCGCGAGAGGGATTACTGGGAGACAGCGGAGTTTGGGGTCGTGGACACTCTTGTTATTTTTGAGGGCTTCCTTCGGCTGCGTTTGTTCATGTAGTGGCCTGTCTGGGGAAACTCTGCTGACAAGGTTGCACGCCCTTTTCAGAGTCTCGGTTTGAGCGAGAGCATCCGCTACCTCTGACTCCGAGTTGAAGGTGATAAGGATGCCCACCTTCGTCTTGTTCGATTTTGACATCAGCCATGATGCTCCGTTTGGTCTAGGTAGGGCTTTCTAGGACAGGTTTGGTTGCCTGAGCCGGAGAATTAAACTTGGGGAAACTACCCCAAATGACAATCCGGTTGGCAATAAAAGTCGCTGATTCAGGTTTGCCTACAGTTGTTTCGACAAGGTGATTGGCTGACCTGCGGCCGCATATGGGAAGTTATCATTAAACAGCGCTGTCAGGTGACTTATGTCATTATCTAGTGCCGCAAATTTTCTTCGCAGTTCGTGAATCATCGAACCTTATAGGTCAAAGACAACTAGTGCCGCTTCTAGTGCTATTTGTGTGCTGGCCCAGTCACTGGTTTCGGACGATTTATGTGGCATGGGGGTTTCCCGCATGGGTAAAATGTCCTCGTCGGAGGAATCGGAAAGCTCAGAATACCTAATTAATAAAGAAAGATACCAGAAAATTATAAAACGGAAACGGAGAGAGTTTATTATGTGTGTAGGAACAGGTACCGTGACTATTTAGATTTCACGGGAACACTAGGAATGAGATAATAGCGAAGTTTTCTAGTCCAAAAATGTCCAAAATAAAAAATGTATATACTGGAATACGAATAAATATCTATGAAAACGTAAAAAAGAAATTTATCGATCCACTATAAATATTTCACCGCGAGAGGTCAAGGTCGACTCCCAACAGTTTGGTTTGCAGCCAGTCACTCACTGTGGGCATGTATCGTCTCTGCGGTCCAGCCATTCATGTATCGACCATTAGAAATTCCTGACTTCGGTCTACACACCTCGTTGTTAAGCAGATGGGTGTGTTGCCCTGCTGCCTTTTGTCTCTCGTTTCATTCTCACCTAACTCTTAAGGCTAAACTCTTTCTTCACTCTGATTATTTCGCGACTCCTCAATCTGTGCATTTCCCCATTCCAAATTTCAAGCCGTACGCGTTCACGGTGAGGTTATATTTGACCATCTCCCCCCTTTTATTAGATACAATGACAATGAATATAGTATATTTCACTACTGAAGTCGTTATCATGCTGGGATTCACGATCATTTTGTACAATAAGTGGCAGAACATTTGGGTCAACAGTCAATGGGGTTAGGAGAAAAAAACGGAACGCGATCTGTTTGCGCGCGACAAGCAAAGATAAACACAAAACGGTCAGTAGACAACTTTGTTCTTCCGGGAAATTTATAAAAAGGAAAGTGAGCAATGTAGCACATTTCTGACACGTTATAGTTCTGTAAATAATGAGATATGAAGACGAAAAGTCGCAGGGGCGGAAATGTAAGAAATGAAAACGTGTACACATGTCTATGGGTATGTGTTATCTAGAACTGAATTCAATCGGGGAAAAGAAATGAAAACTGCGCATACTGGACGCGGTAAAGATGTCAAACGTTGATCGTGTGGAGACGAAAAGACATAAAAGCTGGATGGGGTGGAGTTGTTTTGTGTATATTCTGGAAGATTTGTGTTTAAAAAAATGGTTACATAAGGTCCTGTCGGTACGACTAGCTTCTGAGTGAAATCACTGTCTGGGCGAGAGTGATCGGGTCAAGACGGGGATGAGAGCTTTCAGGCCTCGCTAGGTCTTCTATCATCGATAAGAACAAGAGGCGTTTGGGTCGCTGCGTGTGGGCCTGCAACTCAACATTGAGTCTGTTTGGTAAAACGGTTCAAATGATGGAAGATTTCAAAGAGTGCAGCTTTTGGTTTTTTGGTTTACTTCGGTCTTCTTCAACAGTGAGAATTGTACCGATCTGACAGGAGTCGCCGTTAGTCTTAGAAGTAGAAGATCTCTGGACTAGAAGCCGGAAATGCAAAACAGTCTAGGTTTGGTTCCTAGATGATGAGTGGGCGGGGGGAAGGAGAGGAAGCATGCATGTTACCGCGCAATCTACTGTTGGAACTTCAGAACCGTCGCGAAAATGAACTGATAAATTGAATCAAAAGAACAGTTTCGACAAATGACCATTAAAAAGACCTGGCAATGAAAATACAAATGGAGTTTATACATCCTGGGAACTTGATTAAACGCTAGATCAGCAGTGTCCGTTCCCTGTCCTGTTCAAACTGAACTGAAGGGCGACGTTTATATATAGAGGCTGCTGGCACTTCAGCGGGGAAAATGGTACTGAAGAGTCTGAGCAATTTCTGTGCGACAGTTTCCTCTACCCGGTACGGCACGCTGTCAGCGAAGTAGAGATGAAGATAGCTGGAAGAGCACTCTAACCGGTTAAGAGGTTCATAGCGAAGAAGGGACTCCAGGACCAGAAAAGAGATGGGCTGTGGAAGGGTATTGAATATATTGCGATTAGCAGGTTAGCTGCATCCTATAGGTATCAAACGAATTCTTTGGTGGGGAGATACAAGGCCCCAAATTCAACAAAAATGGCCTCCCTGCACGACCACGTCTAGTGGAGTTTGTTGCGTAACAGACTAGGGATCTAATACTGGCTTGGACAGTATTGGTGACCCAGGGGGGTCACGATGGTCTCGGCAAAGCTAGGATAGCAGGTAACCACCCTGACTAAAGAGGAGGTTAGATCTGAACTCAAATGGTATCTTCTAGCAACGGCAAAGCGCACATACCGGCACTGTCGCTTGGAGTTGTTGTCATCAAAGATGTACTAGGAGATGGGCAATGGCAAAGTTGCCTGGAAGAGGATGCCGTAGTCGTAGCAACTCCAGTCAGATGCAGGAAAGAATCACCAGCTGAGGCGGTTCATCAGAAGGCTCCGCAGGCTACAGCTACCGCGGAAAACATTTTGTATCTCCTTGGATGTTGCGCCGGATGCCCAAGCATGAGCAATCTACGGGAAATTAATGAGAAAGAAAGGACAGCATGATCATGTTGTACACCAACGCGTGCAGCGTTGGTGTAACCACGAATATACGGGAAGAGTGGCCACTCTCATTAGAAGGAGCGCAAACCACACCAATCGAAAACCAACCTTTGCACGAGCAATGTCCAGTTGTGTACATCAATACTACTACTCAGAAACAGTAGGAGTCAACGATGTACATGTTTACAGAGCACCGGCGACAAACCGTGAAGAGGACATTTAACTGCTGAGAGCTCTAATTTGGATAATTAAGGAAGCTCACAAAGCTATGTTTGTAGGAGACCTCAATCCACCACATGTAGACTGGAGGTCCAAGGTGTGCACTCGGAAGTCAACAGCAGAGGGCCACCTCAAATGGCTGCATTAGAATGCTCTGTGGCAACACGTTAGAGAAAGCACCACATTCAGGTTTGTTAGTGCACCATCGCTGCTGGATCTAGTGATCACTACACACATGAATGATATCATGGCGCTACATTCACATCCATTTCTTGGTAAAGGCGACCACGTCACCATATAAATCAGAGTGTGGATGTGGCAATCTAAGGCACAAACTAAGATGATCAAAAATTTCCGTTTCATAGATCAAGGGAATCTTCAAACCATACCATTGGAGTTGATCAGAGATGCACCGGAACGGAATAGATTAGAGCACCACTGAAAGTTAATTAAGTTAATTTGTAAAACGAATTTCCTCCGTTGAAACCCAGCCGACACAAAGACAGGCCGTTTTGGCGGAGCGCAGTGGTGGCCAGAGCTATCAAAAACTGAAATAGCTGTTGGAAAAGCGTTAAGCTTTCCGGCAAGCATCAAGCGTGGATTTCCTACGCAACGTGTAAAAATGAGGCAGTTAATCTAATGTAAAAAGCCTAAAGGCACCATGAGCTTCAGCTGGCCCAATGCGCTAAACTTAAGCTAAAGAAATACCACATTTATGTTGAATTCAAAGGATCACCTACAGATGGTACAGGGCCATAAAGTGTAAGCGCTTAAACAGTGGATATGGACAGACAGGGTAAAGCAAATGCAATGACCGGATACTTTGGCAGTGTGCACTGGATATATGATGGTATGCTAAGAACCCTGAAGCTAGAAGCACCAGTGCCCGAAGTTGAACAGATTCATCTATCCGTAGCGATATTGCGCCAACACCTGGAGGGTTCAGACTTTCACAAGGTGACTTGACTACGATATTCACCCAACTATTATGAAGCCCATAATGGACATCCTCGCAAGACCTGTATATGGGCTATACAATGCTGCATTAAACCAGAGAATCCTATCAAGAGACTGGGAGGTAACAACACTGATGAATATTCATAATGGAGAAGCCCGATCAGAGTTAGGAAACTAGAGAACTAGCATTTTGTGTAAGGTGTTATAAACGATTATTCGCATCCATGTATTCCAGGACTCTATGCTGTGTCCGACTCAGCATGGGTTTCTGTAAATTAGGTCGTGAGTGATCAATCAACTGTGCTTCTTGGATGAATTTACCAGAAGATTAGACGAGGGGAACGAAGTCGATGTATGTTACCTTGATCTTAGCTTTTGACTCAATTACTGAACGCATGCTATTATTCAAATAGAAACTCTCTGTATACGGGGATAAATACAAACATGAATGAGGAATTTCATCACTAACCGGACTTTCTACGTCAAATTAAGCTGCAAGTGCTCCCGTACAGCAGACATCTTAAGTGGTGTGCCCCAGGGTTCCATGCTCGGTTCGTTGCTGTTTCACTATTCATGAATGACCTTGCCATACCATTGAGATAGCCCACCATTTCCTTCGACGACTACGTCAAGGTTGCTTGGTCGAAAGGAAAGGTGGATCAGAGGACCGACAAAAGCCTAACGATGGTGCAAGCCCAGGGACTGTTCACGTTAGAGACAGTAAGTAGGGCCAAGGACCGTGACTTCGGATTTCTGTTAGGCCGAGCATTGCATAACAGCCGCAAAAGCGCCCGAAGAGTACTACTCAAACTGTGGTCAGCGCTGTCTTGCAGAAAACCGGAGGTAATAATGCCTCTGTACAAAGCTGTAGTTAGACCTCATGTCGAGTACTACGTACAGGTATGGTCACCTTTATTCAAAAGGGATGCTGCCTGCTTATCAAGCGTTCAAGCTCTTGTAACGCGAATGGTGGCAGGTCAAGTCAGGTCGGGTCACAAGACGTGCGGCTAATGCCAGACATCGTCCAAATTCTTGCACTGGTGAACTGCGGTCGTCTTCTCATAGTGCTTCTACAGCGTATCAAAGGGGAAAGTCGTATGACTAGGTACTTCAAGGAGTTGGGGCTTTTCTCTCTAGAACGGGGAAGAATTCGAGGTTATCTCATCGGAACCTTCAAAATAATGAAGAGTTTATCAGATATAGGCCCGGAGCGGACAAGGGGCCACGGTGATAAACTAAGTAAATCTCGATCCATGATAGCAGCAAGGTAGCACTTCTTTAACAGTCCGGTAGTAAATCTATGGAACCGACTGCTAGAAAACCTAATAAGATTAGAGGCTGTTCAAACCTTTAGCTAGCCATAGATCGAAAGTAGGACGAAATTGTTCCCGGGTTGAGCAGTGATTCAGCTCTCCAATTGGGGAACCTGTTGAACGCTCACGTAACTTAACGTCTCTCGCCAAGCAGGTGCGATGAGTTGTCTTTATCCCTTTGTCTTTAGCAGGACTAAAGGATTATCCTATACAAGGGTGGATGCCGGACCTGTGTATACTGCCAAAAGAACTCTGGACGCTCAATGGACCGTGACTATTTTCTGACCTGTGCGAACCGAACTGAACTGGAATGCGATTTAGCACTGAATCCAAGATGTCAATTCATGCTCACAAGAACCAACGAAGACAAGAGAGATGGGATGCATTTTCAGCATGTCTCAGGTAAAGTATCTAGGATACATGATTACAAGTGACTTAAGCCATCACTACAGTACACGTGTGCGGTTAACAAAGCCCGACACGAACATCTCAGGTTGTGAGCTGTTGTAAGTTTCAGAAGGCGCGAAGTTTTTAACCTTTGTACAAAACGTCTACGTTTATAATATTCCACACAAGCATAGGCACCATATTTGAAACATGATGAACGATTCCTCGAGAAATATAGCGTTTAGCAACTAGAATGATAGCAGGATAAAAATGCAAAGAATACTCCCAATATTCGAAGAAACATTATCGTTTGTTCTTTCCCGGAACACGAGTGTACATTTACTTAAGCTGGAAATAAGTCATTGTAGAACACATCTACCGGCTAGGTTCTTCAGAAACAGGAATATATCACTGTATAATAAATTACCTGAAGTAGTGATTAACAGTATTAGTGTTGAAGCTTTTAAGAGCAAGCTAGACGGGTGTTGGCCAGTAGTATGCCCTGAAGTTGAATATTCAATGTGAACCACTAGGCTTCACTTTCCGGAACTTTGCGAGGGATCACTTACTGTACAATAAAGTACACTTACTTTCAGAAAAATAACTTTTGGTTTGAAGTGTCAGAAGCAACCGAAACCCCTGCAAACTCAAGGAACTATATGCGCAACTTGGAAGAGCCGCCGAATCCTCGGAAATGCAGTCAGTTACTGTCAGATATCATCATTAGAGACGCAAAGTGCGAACTCGGGAAACTATCTTCTTCAAACACTAGACGAGGACGTTATGAACTTGAAAATCGTCACAGACGAGACCTTCAAAACGACACCACAGTGTCCGACAGTTGTAGCCAAAGATAATAAATCGGTCCATTAACTCATTAAGACTGTATCCTCTTGAGGAGCAAAAGTAGTGGTTCCTCTATATAAGGCCCTTGTGAGGCAACAGCTAGAGTACTGCGTTCAGACCAAGGTGCCTTACTTGGTGAAGGACTTTAATGTCCCGGAGGCGGCCCAAAGAAGGCTCTCAAGGGCTATAGACGGCATGAGGTGTCTTGAATATAACGAGAGTCTCGAGAGGTTAACTCTTTTCTCTCTCAAGAGAAGGAGACTGTGAGGGAACCTCATAGAGGATTTCAAGCAGCTGGTGACAGAAACACCGCTGTTGAACCTATGCCACAACACCAATTCTAGGAGCAAAGGGTGCAAACCCGAAAAGCCCAAAGCAACCAGGAGTATTGAAGCGCAGTTCTTTTGGCATCAAGTGATCAATGCGTGGAACCGGTTACCAGAGCAAATAATTGCGGCTCGTAGCCTTGAGGCTTTTGAGCATCAGATGGACGAAGCCTCGTCGGTTATATTTCCCGACGATGAATAGGACCAAGAAGCCGGAAACACTGCACTCGAACTTGTCAGTAGGATGCTCTCGGTTTTGTTTATAATATTTGTGTTTATTCTCCTCTCATCCGTTTTCCCTGAAATTCCAAGACAGACAGACATAACGGGAATAACGAGGTGCCGTAGTACTTCAAGACATCTGGTGCTCATAGTGCAAAACCTGAACTCAATTTGGCTCGATCCACAAGTTCGGCGATCTAGCATTACCTGACCTGAATGTTGAGGAGAGAGGTGTTCTGGCTAAGATCAGTACTACGTTGTAAGAAGCCCAACGTAAAACTCTCCCTTTGCACAATCACAGTTAAGCCTGTAGGTGATTGGGGGCAACTGGAAGGAGGCGCTCTAACCAGTGCCAGGCATCTGCGATTCATAATGACGGCAGATTACAGTTGGATTACCCAGTGTGATGTTGCAGCACACATGGTGAGACGACAGCTGTGTCGACCAAGGTCATCAGTTTTGAGTAGGAAAGCAGATGTTTTCATGCATAAATACAAAGCGATCGCAAGGCCCCATCTAGAAAACTGTGTTCAGACTAAGTCGCCCTTCTTTAACAAGGACACAGACATTCTGGGGAAGCTACGGAGACTACCTGAAACGCCCAACACGCGATTGTCCTGGTCCGAGCAATAAGAAAAAGACCTCGTCTGTGTGCGATCAATCAAATGATCCTTCACTCGTTCTGGATAGCGATAAACAAATCTCAGAGCAACGCGTATCCCAAGTTATCGAG